TGGGCGGCGTGTTGGGGAGTCTCCGTGTTTTGTCTGGCAAAGGACTTCTCCTCCTTTTCGGCCTGTCTTGACGGTTTTCTGGGCTGCTGACAGACAGCACAGTGGGATTGATGTGGACAGAAAGGTGGATCTCCCTTTTGGCTGCAAGAAGAAGGCGGACTTGGTTTCTTACCTCACACGCAAAATTCAATTAAGTAAATTTAAATTTAAGAATTAATTTTAGTTGGCCAATGGCCATTCCGTTTAATATTCCAACTCGCTGAAGAATTCATAGAAAATGTATTCAATACTTTCAAGCAAAGAGATTTCATGGGAAACTCTTTCATTCCGCTATGTCAAACTTATGACCATCAGTTTCCAAAAAAACACTTGAAAAGGTTACATTAATGCCATATGCAGATTTACGGTGGGTCTTCTCCCCATTCTGATTAAATCTTATAAAACTGTTTAGTGGAAAAACTTCGCTATACAGATTTATTTTTTAACAAAATTCTGGTTCCGACACTAATTGCAAAAGATTGTGAAAGGAAGAATTCCAGGAAACATGCATTCAAACTAACATAAAATCTTTATTGATGAAAAAAAAACAAAATTATTTTCATTCCGAAACCGTAAACAGAAGTATAACTATGAAATAAAAATCTAGTTTTGATTTAGAGAAATTATTATGTTTATAAATTGAATTCTTGCACTCTTAATTGAACAAAGAAAATCTTTTCAATTTGGATTAAAAGTGAGCAAACTCAACAAAAAATTATGAATTCAATTTATGCCCATATTCCACTTGGGGCTTTATATAAAGACAGCGAAACTTTTCGCGTTAAACGCACAGACACTGTCTCTTATGACTGTTTAATTGTTCCTTGAAACTTGGGGTATGAGAACCTGTGCGGTCGACCTCAACCGTATCGTGTGTATGAGCATAAGGGCCGTTGCCATGCGTTTTACCTTTCGGCCATGTCGCCTCGTCGCTCCCCACTCAGTGTTTTGTTTACTTATTCATTTGATAAAGTGAAACGGAATGCAGAGACCGCGTCCCACTTCAATAAGCATATCATTGCCGGCTCGACTCGACGAATGGAAGTTGACTGCTGCTGGCACTGGTGCTTCAGAGCTCCAGAGCTGCCGGAATGTTAATGCGAATGCGAAAGCGAAATGTGCCTGAGCTCATTTCGGTCTGTGTAAAGCAATTTCCGTAATGAGTCCTCTACTGCAGAGCACTTAAAAGTATTTGGGGATGCCTCCTTGAGCTCGTCGACTCGTAAGTTGCGCATACGCCCTGTGTGCTGAAAATTTCTCGCCGGCTTTGTCGGCGAAACGCGATTAATTTTGATTAATTTGCCTCGCTTTTTCCGCACTTCACGTAATCCACTTATGAAATCTTAATACTTAATACCCCAAAGATTGTTTTCGCATTTGCTTTCGTTCTGCACCATGTGTGCGCTCGCAGATTTCAAATTCAAATGTCGCAAGTTTCAAAAACAAATTAATTAAACGCGCAGTAGAGAAATGAGTGCGATAAACGCATTGACACAGCATCAATTAACCCAACTAGGAGCCCCCAATCTACTTAATTACTTAATTTGTGCCGACCTCCCGTCCGGGCCACAGGCTCACTTGCAAAATGGGATTAATTTGTTTACTACTGGGCCGAAAGAGCCGCGAGGAATGCCGCCAGTATTGCTTTATGGCCGGCAAAACGGTCGGCAAAGGACATTCCATGGGCAAAGAGGAGGGGGCTGGGTGGTGGCGCGTGTGCCACATTTATTGGCGCCGCTGACCAGAAACTTTTCGACTGGAAAACTTGAATAAAATCACATCGAATCTAGTATATGTAGTAGTTTCTGTTGGCAGTGACTGAAAGCTAAAGAGCAAAAGAGTTAAGAGTTCTCGAGAGTTGGCCGGAATATTGGCGATTTATGTGGAGAGTTGCCAAGCTCAACCAACATCACATTGGCTGGCTGACAGGAGGGGGTATGAGTGGGAGTGGGCCTGCGATGAGTGCTTTTAAAGCCAACTTGTGGAACGAACCATAAAGCCATCGTTGACCTGGCCAACCTTAAAGATAGCGATGATGTGCATGAATAGAAAATTACCTCCTGCTTTCGTCTCCTTTCCGGTTGACGGAAGATTTTTTGCCTCTCTACAGCGGTTTTTGGCTTATGCATGTTGGACGGCACTAATTAAAACTTGGCTTAAAACTTTTCCACGTCCTCTGTTTGTCGCCCAAGCGCTTTAAATCGTATTCCAAATTTTTTAGCCGCGCTCTGTTGGCGAAGACGACAAAGTGGAAGCGCACAAAATAAATGTTCCAACTTTTTAATTGGCAAAACAATAAAAGTGATAATAAATGAAATTAAACAAGTTGGCTGCCAGAGGAGAAAAACCGAAAACTTTTGGGCAAAAGAAAGTCAAAGAAATGGCTGACCAAATTGCGTGCGGCGGAATAAATTACATTTTACGCCTTAATTTCAGTTATACACGTAGAGTAATGTAATACCAATGTATTAGAAAAATTCAGAATATTTTTTTAAAAATAACAGCCAATCAATAGCTGTAACTATTGAATAAAGAAATTGCATTTTAAAGAGACAAACATTTTTTCCTTGAGATATCGAAGTAAAAATGGTCATTTATAAATTATTCAATATTCGAAATACTATTTTAGGTCTAACAAAAATCTTTCAAGCCACTCGGGAGAAAGCGAGTATTCAAGAAGTATGCAACAATAAATTTGTTTTAAAGACTCCCTACAACCCAACTCAGCCCCGAACAAGGCAGTTAGTTAAAGTGCCTGCGATTGGCACTCGTAAATTTATAGATTTAATTGTCGTTTTTTGTGAAGCACCAGCAGCTCATTGACTGACTGATTTATGAGCTCATTATAAATTTTACCAACACCCGCTGGCGTGTTGACAAATGGCTGCGCACACATTGTTAATATTTAATGGGAAATTCTTGCGCTGCGGCCGGATTGCATATTCATTATGGATAATCACGCTTTAAGTGGTCAGCCGCCAGTCCAGCAGTCCACAGTCCGGCAATCCAGTCGCGTCACGTGCCAGCCATTATGGCCGGGTTAATAAATAATATTTCAAATTGAGAGCCGAGTATATCGGGTTAGGCGCCGGGGCAAGGAGGTCATTAATTTTGAATTTTTGCGCAGCCCTTTTTTCGGGTCTTGTGCATAATTTGCACATAAAAAATCATGGCCAGGAGCTGTAACGTGGCCATTACCTGAACGGCTGTCTGCATGTGTTCATGGCCCGAATAACCGACTTGGCCCAAAGCGATTGCAGGATAAGGGTCCAAATGTTTCTCTGTCCTTGGAGCTGAAAATTCTAAAGAAATTTTAATAAATGAGATTTTTTATAAGCCCCCGAAGTCCAGAGATGTTGCTTACAAATCAGAGCGATTAAGCTAGAAATATGATAAATTCAATGAAGTATGCTTTTGAAATCTCCCATCCATTTACATTCCTTTTTTGCAGTCTATTGCAAGTGTAAACAATTTCCAGTAAGCTCTATTCACACAGATGAGAGCAAACAGAAAGTGCGTAGGCATTAAGCTGCCTGTCCTGTGTCAGCAAATAAGGATATCCTGCCTGAATGGAGGGGAAAATATGTAGGAGCTGTGGAAAATGTCATTTGCCGGAAATGGACTTACATAATTTTTGAGGACCAACGTAAACGGCTTAGCCGGATGTTTAGTTGCCGGGGCTGGCAATCCAATCAAAGTATTTGCGTTAATTATGGAGGGTTAATTAGATAACGGGCTGCCTGACAAAAGGGCACCACTAACTGGGCCGAAACCAATTAGCCACTTTGTCGCCGCTTAATGAGCGCCTTTAATGGGCTTTCGATGGACTTGGGGGCTGGCCAACCAATTATTTACTCGTATAGTTATGGTCCAATGGCCCGGCAAGCCATGGCCCTCGGGGAATGTTTGTTCGCAGTTTTTACATACTCATGGTTCATCGGTTCTCGCAAATATTTCCACAATTAGCCGCAAGTCAAATTTACAGCTGCTTTTAATTAAAGCAGCACAACGCGGCGTATGCGTAATATGCTAGGTCGGAAAAGCCTTTAATGCCGTTCACGTTATATGTTGGCATATCACCCATGTTTGTTGACTTTGGCCGACCGAAATAGCTGCAGGATTTTCCTGCTCGTCGAAGAGAGTTCGGACACATGGCCCAAAATAAGTGTCAACTGCCATGTGAAAATAGACAAGATGTGTGGGCTGCCGAGAAAGGCTGCCGCAAATTGCCGAAACGTGGCCATAAATTAACGGGCGGCACAGCTAATGAAAATGTTGGCCCCGACATCTCTGTCCTGAGTTGCATCCCAAAATTTAATTAATCTCATCAATTTGGGCCGACAGCCATTGGATCGATTGCCGTTGGGGACTGACATTGAAGGAAATGCAAACAACAAATATATAAGTAGATATGCATACATATGAAATATTGAAATACTGTTGAATATTCAGATAAGAGATTTTTTTATTTATTTATTATTTTTTGTCAAGAACTTTTCCCATTTCCAATGAACTGCAAATTGAATTGTAAATTTGCTAACCAATTGAATTACCAAAATGGGTTTAGCTCACAGGCACAAAAAATTTTAATTACTTTGAAGCAAACAAAGCGAATCCATAGATTGTAAATAAGATAGATTCCTGGCTTAAAATCATGATTTTACAAAACCGAATAAAATATCTAAAAGGATCCAAAAAGGATTCTTTTTTTAAAATGAAATCTCATAGCGCTGTGAACCCTCCTTTGTTTTCAATTTTCCAAAACATCAGCTCTGAACTTCCCAAAGAGCTTTAGTTCATAGCTGTTGAAACACAAATGTCTGCTCATTTTTATGCATATTTTCACTGCTCATTAAACTCGCTTAACTACCAACATTTATAATTCACTCGTTGTTTTTTACCCCACTATTTATATCCTGGCTAACTTGAGTCTCCACTTGCGTTTTATTTTTCAGTTGTGCAACAAAGTTGGCAGTCCATAAAAATGCTCTGGCCGCGAGTGGGCGAAAATTAGTAGCCACATCAATTTCAGCGCGGCGAGGCAAACTTAATTAAAACGCGTGTTGGCCAGACAAAATTTCGGACGCTGTCGAGACTTAATTGAAATTTAACCAACCGCCCGTGCCGCCAACAAATGCGTTGGCCATCGGCCTCCAGGCTGCCTTTGCCCGGGTAGATTGCCCATGTCCATGTCCATGTCCACGGCCTCGTCCTTGCCGCACTGATCGCCCACCGAAGCCCAAGTGCAACAGGAACTACCGGCGATGCAGTCGCTGTTGCTAGCGTTGATGTTGCTGCTGCAGCAGCAGCAGCCATTGCTGGGGGGGCGGCAATTAGTCGGGCTGACTGATGATGGAAGGTCGGCCGCCGCATTAAGCGACAATTTAAATTCAACGTTAGTACCTGGTAAAACCATAAAAGCCATTGAGCGACAGATGAAAGCTGCAGATGAAGTGGCAGCCGGTCCCGCTGAAAAGTTGTTGCAAGTGACACCTGCAAACCAATTACCTGTGGACACACCACCGACAACCTCCGCTCGCCCCAGCTTGCTCTTGAACTCCAATGAACTCCAATCGCAATCGGAATCCTTTATGGCCGCCACAATGGTAACCGGAAACCATTCGGTACAAGGCGAACTTAAGAGGATGGAAAGTGCGGAAACCTTAGACGCAATCACGGCAGCAGCAACTGCAGTTCCAGAAGCAGCAGCAGGTGTGTCAGCAGCAGCAGCATCAGCAGTAATAACAGCAGCAATAGAAGCCACAGCAGCAACATCACCGACACGGGAGCAACACATGCTGCTCCCACGTCCCACAGCTGTGCAAATGGCACGAATAAATGTACCAGCAACAATAGAAGACCAAATTGGGAGAGCAGTGATTCCAAGCAAAACAAACAAGGCCGAGACACCAGCAACATCAGCAACTACAGCAGCAACACCCACGCCAACGGCAGCAATAATGCCAGCAAAAACAAAGCGCAATGGGGAGGACGGGACCAATAAGCGGGTTCAGAGAGATGGCATGAAATTCAATACGGATGCGGCACTAAGCCAGGACTATGTAAATGCCACAGAGGCGTGGCCAGCGACGACGACAACTGCCAATATAGTGGCCACCGCATCGACCATATCGCCGGCACTAACGAGCACGGCGGAGAGGATTAGTGGCAAGACGGTGCCCACGCCCCGATTACTGGGATCCGGATCCGGGGCCATGGGCTATGGGGCGGGACGGTGTGGCCCAGATCCTGGCCAAGTCCCTGGACAGCCCGCCACCGACCTCGTCCTCCGGCTGGCCGGTTAAGCACGCCGCAGTGCTCGAGGGCGACGTCATTCTGGGCGGCCTGATGATGGTCCACTCGCGCGAGGACAGCATCACCTGCGGACCCATCATGCCGCAGGGTGGCATCCAGGCCCTGGAAGCGATGCTCTACACCCTGGACCAGGTCAACAAGCACCAGTTGCTGCCGAACGTCACCCTGGGCGCCCACCTGCTGGACGACTGCGACAAGGACACCTACGGCCTGGAAATGGCAGTCGATTTTATTAAAGGTGGGTGCAATTTCCTTTGAGGCGCTTTTTAATTAATATGAAATTATATGTCGACTTTAAATGATTTTTTTATAACAAGTGGAGATGTTTAAAATTCGAGGGAAATATGAGAGTTATACTTATTATATTTTTTAGCAATTAATTGGAAGAAGTAAACTTTTTTGAACATTTGTTTAACCTGTATTTTATTTGTTTCTAATACGTGAAAAAAAGAAAAAATAAAGAATAATGAGCTTAAATTGTAATAGGCTCGATTTTTTCCTTTGACAAATGTACCTGCAAAAAATGTTTAAAACTTTCTCAAACAATTTGTAACTTTACCGCTTACAATTTCCCACTCCTTCTTATTTTAAATTTTTGGTCTGGCAGCATTTTTTATTCAAATTACATTTCTTGTTTAGACTTGTGTGGCAGGTCATAAATTAACATAAAGTTTTTGTTGCGGAGCAAAATGTAACCCATCCTTATCGGATTAACACAAACGATTTATATCATTTGAAAGCAATTTACCAGCGCTTTAATAGATTGCATTTTGTTTTCATTTCCCCCAAATATATCATTTATATTTTGGATTTGAATTAATTTGTATTTGTACTGGATACAAAATTGCCTAATTACACACACTTTGTTTATAAACATGTGCGATATAATTTGTTTGTTTTTCTGTGAAAATCAAATATGAAATACTCGTTAAATTGCTGTGTGTGATTGCTTGGAAGTGAGCATTTTGCACCGCGACAATCAAATTTATGGTTTGGCAGTACGCAAACATGCCGTTGCCAGATTTTCAACAACTTTAAACCACAAAAAAAAAACTGACGAATGAAATATAAATGGTAAAGAATATTTACAAAAGCCAGATAAGGGGTCTGAAATGAACGAGTGTGAAATGTAAATGAAAAACTCAGAAAACGTAAACATTTATTCAAATATTTGTTTTATTTGCACATGATGAAAAAAATCTTTACTGTAAATAAATATTTTGTGGGCTTCCCTTTGGCTTTAACTGCTCATGATTCATTAAAGACTCCCAGGAAAAGGCGACAATGAAAACCAATAATCCTCCCACAAATTGGAATCGTGGTGTATTTCAGCTACAAGGCCTTGTCATTAGCATTATTACCTTTAACAAATATTGAAAACTGCCATTGTGTGCTCCTTTCAACTTTGCCGAAAAAGCGATTGAATCGATGTTATTTTTTGTTTGTATGCAAATCGTTTGCCAACATACACGCAAATTCCCTGTTTAAGTTCAATAGTATTCAATTGTTGTACATCAGCATAGGAAAATGGAGTCACTTTTTTTTGCCGAACCGCCCACTGCCCCTAATATTGGATTGCACATTTACTGAAATGGATCTTGTCTGTTTTGCAAACAGTTTTGTGGGCCAGCAGCACAAAGCAGGTGAAATATAATTAAAAATCAGAACTTTATATTGTTTTGTTGAGAGTAATGAAATAGATAAAAGTTATATCATACAGCATAACAAAACTATGAATTTACACATACACATAAACATTAATTTATAAAAAAAAACAAGAGAGAACGCTATAATCGAGTGCCTCGACTATTAGATACCCGTTACTCAGCTAAACAACTTAATAGAAATATGCCTCCTTTTTTGTTTTTCGAAGCTGGAATTAGCTCCCGTTTTTTACCCAGGGAACTCCACGTGGAGGCCTTCTAAAACTTTCAATTCTGCCTAGCACATCTTCCGTCTCTCTCTAGCGCAGGTGAATGCACTTGTGAAAAACGAATACGAGCAAAAAGAGACAAAATGCGCGCCCTTTTCAAATAATTTAAAATTTGCAATAACATATTGTGAATTAGTGTGACCACAGAAAAAAAGGACAAAAAGTTCAAATTAACCATCTGAATAGATGGCGCTATTGTATATTGAATTGAGCCATCTACCCCAAGATATTGGTACTACTGGCCATGAAAGGCGGAAATGTAGGCGCTAGACAGGTTTAAGCGTTAAATGGGTTTTGCGGGCGTTAGAGTGGGCGTGGCAAACTTTTACTTGGCCAATCGATATGTATTGACGAAACAAATACATATCAGTTACTATTTTCATAATAGCTTCAAAACTGTGGGCGATAGAGAGGGCTAGTGGGCGTTAGAGGGGGCGTGGCACCTTTTTGAAATAAACTTGCGCTGCGTAGGAACTCCCAGAATCTGCATGCAAAATGCCAATCTTCTAGCTTTTATAGTTTCCGAGATCTCAGCGTTCATACGGACAGACGGACAGACAGACAGACAGACAGACAGACAGACAGACGGACAGACGGACAGACGGACATGGCTAGATCGACTCGGCTAGTGATCCTGATCAAGAATATATATACTTTATGGGGTCGGAAACGCTTCCTTCTACCTGTTACATACTTTTGCACGAATACAATATACCCTTTTACTCTACGAGTAACGGGTATAAAAATAATAAAAATGACAATAATAATAAAGACAAGAATAAGAGATTAAATAATCTATTATCAACGGCACGTAAAATGGGTTTATTAAGTTCATTTTAAAAGTTGTGGTTCTGTCCTTCAAGATGATGTTGCTAAAATTTTTAATGTGTCAGAACTTTAAGTGGTTGTGGGAGCAAGAGTTTTCTTTCTTGAGATTTTTGAATGATATTTGATAATTCTGATTTTTATCGAACTAAAATTACAATGCTTTGCAGTGCTGCCAGCAGTCAGCTTAAGATCAGACGAAAAAAAGCGGAAAAAAAAGGATAACAAAAATTTAAAAAAGACAAAAGAGTGGACAACTTGTTTTTTCTTCGACCTGTGCGTCATATTTTGGACATTAAACCTAACGCACTTATTTAACCAGAACATATACTTCTCTAATCATTTATTTGTTTTTGCGTATACGTGAAAAAGCAGTATCATTTCACGGCATTGCATACAGAACAAAAAATAGTTTTGGGACTGTACCAAGCTTACTGAGCTTACTTAATCGGAAAATTATACGATTTGCCTAACTTTTTATTCAAAATGGAACAAAACAAAATTTTTTAAAAGCTTTCGGTTTTTTTATTTTAAATCCAAACGGTTTCCTTGATATTAATTGTTATGGATATTTAAAAGCTCACGTTTTCCTCACAAAATCGGATTTCGATTTTTTAGGATATCACAGTGAGTCGATTTTTATACTTTTTTTGAGAAATGGACGCAACAGGGTTTTTATAATTTTTTTTTTGTTTAAATAAGTTATACGTCGGGTTTTTTGTAGGAGAAATGCATTTTCTGTCACATTTTATTTGAATTCTAGTTAAGACCTTTAAATGCAGTTAGGGACTGAAATGGATGAGATCTGAAATGGTAGTACTTGATGTTAATTGATATGGATATTTAAGAAAATTTATACATTTCCATTCGATGATTGGATTTTTTCCCGGATAATGCCGTTAAAAATCGGACAGATCTATCCGGAAAAAAGGACAAATTGGCAGCATTGATGCTTTGGCACCTTTGTATAAACTAAATAAGCAAAGAAACAATATACATTTTTATTCTGGAATTTAAAACCAATTGCAGATTGAAGTGATTATCCAAGAAGTATTCCGGTTATAAGCTCTTAGAGTTGTGGTGGTGAGCCGATTCAAATAATATATTTGAAAATTACCTAATTATATTTAATTTTTCTAACCGATTTAGATTTCGTGGAAAATATTTTGTTGGCCTGGCTTAGACAAAACAAAAACGATTTTTTTACCTGTCTGCATTAACAGCTGCAAATGGTCTTTAGTTCCCCTTAACAGTCAAAACCATAGTTTTTCTATTTTTTAAACGTTGTTATTAAAATATTTATAGCGAGAGTAGTCGAAAATGCTATTACTTGTAAAATAATTTCTTGAATTCCGAAATCGGGTTTTTAGGCATTCAACAGATAGTCCGATGGCACCGGAGAACCAATTGTGGATTTCATTTTGCAAGCTACTGTTAATAAACATGTCTGTGGAACCTATGATAGTCCTGAACGTATAACAGTCCCTTAGCTTTCGCATGGATTGTGACCTGGCTAAGAATCAAAGTGCTAGGTTTGAGTTTTGGGACATGTTTGGGAAACTCCTAGAAAATCATAAAAGCATATCCTGAAAACCTATAAAATGCATATCACTTCTATTTCAGCCTTTACGATAACCAATCTTAGCCGTCATCTTTGCCTCGGGACATCAAACCATTTGAAGGCCACTCAACATATAAATTGTTTATGCCATCCTAAAGATTCTTTACGACCTGCGCTGCCACAGTGGTCATCATCCCATCCCAGAGAATGTGGAGTCGAATCAGTGCCGGAGTGACCCAGTTACTTGTAAATTGAATTTTTATTTTCTCCAACCCCGCCATGCCACGCACTTTTATATCATATCCGCTGGATGGGGGGGGACACGCATCCTCGTCAAAGGAGGCATAACGAAATTTATCTCCCATGAAGCGCTGTGTCAACCCTGGACGCAGGGTTCCCTTTTTGCTCATATCGTTTTAATTCGATGGGAAGCCCCCAATCCGGCGGCTGTGTTGTTGCCACTTAATGGAATTTGCCGCTTATGCGTTCCGCATGCCGCGCATTATCCTTTCTATGCCAGCCAGGATTCCTCAGTTTCCTGCGAAACCGGAGCTTTTTGCCTTCTGCCTTCGGTTGACAGGCGGCAGCCTGCCTGCTTGGCTAAAAGTTTTTCCACTGCCTATTTCGGCGTTTTTTCCTCCTTTGTCTTGCCTCGTTTTTGTCGGCGCTTT